ACTTGTCCGACCATCATAGTGAAATAAAAGAATGGTAAAGTTTTCTGTCAACTATACAAGCCCATTAAGTCGTGTGAGAGCTATATGCAAACACATAAAAGCGTCCGTATAGAACAGGAGATTGGGAAATTGGCCTAACCTTTTTCACTATAGCATCAATGTTTTTTTTCTGCTCATAGCCGACTGTAAAAGTTACAAGATACCTTGGTCTGACAATAATGTCCTGTAGTGATCAGATTATTCAATCGAAAATGATGAACAAAAAAAAATTATGCTGACCATTTCAAGCATCCATTAGAACCAAAATGAGGAAAAAGAAGTTAAATAACTCACAGATGCAGATATGAAAAGATGCACACAAATTTTACTTTTTTCTTATAACTCTTTAGCAAGTTCTCAAAAATTCAGATAAATGGCAGACGAAACAAGCCCGTGATATGAAATTACAGCAGAATAAACACACCTCATTGGGAAGACCCCACAATCTGCGGAGATGTAAATCAGACTCGGCTACAACAATGCCTGGAGGCAGTCCCTCAGCACCTCGTGGATTAGTTGGAGCCCATATCTGCACAAAAATCACTTAGAAATTTATGGTGGATCTAAATGGGGAGAATGATCCCTGCTCAAATCCACCCAAACCTCCTGAACCCCACCCCCCCACACAACAAAAAAAGTAGGATGCGTGCTGCTATAGTTCAAGTAATTCTAACTAAGTGAAACTTGAGCCAAATGTTTTAGGCTGAAGCGTTACGCTTAAATTTCCCTCTAGCATATCACGATCTCTTTAAAAAATCCAGAACGAATAAAATCTAGGGAACAGATTCCAGATTTCAGTTCTAAGACTTCCACATGTCATTCTTTAAATTATCCACATCGACGTGAACACTATAGATCAAAGGATGCACATTTGATGGAAGTTCTGGATTAGCTTCTGGGTTACCATCAAGAACAAAAAAGAAGAGAAGCTACAAGTACTAGACATACACAATCCATAAGATTCACATTAAGCATACCAAGAATTATTTCTTTTCATAAAATTCAATCATTGATCTTTAAATACTCCATAAGGCAAGTAACCATCTTCATTCAGGTCAATAATGTTAATTGTTAGGATTAAGCCTTTTTCCCTAATTCCATAAGCAATAATAAGCTAGCAGAAATCACAAAATTGGCCCTAATATTCTTTATATAACAAAAATAAATTACAGCAACCTAATCCAGAGTATGAATGCCCAATATCAGGTCAATCCGCAGTAGACAAATAAGTGAACACAATAATTAGGTTCCACACAGTCCAACAATTTGTTGGACAAGTGCCAAAAAAATCCACATTGGACAGATGCAAGGATAATCTTAGGTTTATAAAGAGAATAATACTTCACCTAATAGGTTAACATTTTGAAATGATAACTCAATCCCAAAAAATAATAACTTTTAAAAGAGAAGGTATTATACACTCATAAACAGACACAGTTGAGTAAGTGAACATGGACACTACGTTTGGCACCAGAAGCTTCTGCTCATGCACTGCAGGTAGCAATTCGCTCCGTACTAGAGCAAAAATATAATTTTATGGCAAGTTTTTCAGCAGATTAACATCTAGTTCAAACAAACTTCTTTTCTGTCAAGGAACCTAGACACTACTACACCACAAATATGCAAATTAAACATTCATATGTCACTTACATCAAAGACAAAGGGAATACCTTATTATTATTAAATTTGTGTGAGATGCCTCTGTTACGCTTAAGAGAAGACCAGATATTTAACAGTGCTTGGGTTGAGAGACCCGAGTACTTGTCCTCAATATGGGTAAGATCAATGGAAGGAAAAAAGCTGGACGGCTTATTCATCTGCAAAAATCAGACATGCAACAACATTATTTCTTCAATTCTTTCTTGAACCAAAATAAAATAGTAAGATTTGGAAAGAGTAGATGTGCTTGCCTTTGACAAGGAAACGGTAGGAAATGAAACACCTAAAAAGAAGCCGAAAACAAGCCCAACGAAGGTTGTTACAATCAGCCTCATATTCTCATTTGGTCTTCTTATACCCAAGCTAGAGTAAAAACAGAGAGCTCTTAGATCATTGATGCAATTTCAATAATACTTCAAAATTCAAAATAATCCATAAGCAATGTTTTTAATTTACTTTGAAGCTGTGAACCTTCGCATAGGTGTCCCCATATTAATCACAACCTTAGTTGAAAATTGCAAGTAATGTAGGAAATGTACACTCTCATGTAAATACCATTAACCCTGTAATAAAAAATGAGATTGATTAATTTTACTGCTGCTATTTTTCACGTAAAAATACCAGACTGAAATGAAAGTGATAATCAATTATGGGATCCAAATCAAGTAGAAAAAAAAATACTTAAACCATTGCAAAATTAATATACAGACAGGAAATTCACTTAAAATCCAGCATGAGAATGGAAGAAAAAAAAAAAACCATAATTAATTACTGCCTCTATTATTCATTTAAAATAACAGGCTGGCAATGATATCAATTATGGCATCCAAATTACCACTTGTACCATTATTATAACTGATGCAGGAATTAAATGTAAAAGTTTCCCATACTAACATTATTGGGACTGAATCTACAACCCAGAATCGTATATTATTAATCTGAACGTTTCAGCTTACCAGACTGAAAATGATAACCAATTATGGGCTCCGAATTAAGTAGAAGAATTACTTATACCATTATAAAATCAGTCTACAGAAGCAGAAACTTCACTGCAAAAGCTCCCGTCACTAATCTAACAATTTAGGACTGAAACTACTTCTCAATGATTCAACTATTCAGAGAATGAGATTCAAGAAACGCACTACCAAAAATAAGCTATAATTCATAATTGACTTACTAATTAATGAAATTTTGAATTTTCACTGCTCCGAAATTTCAAAATTAGTGGGTCAAGCTTTTATCGTTTGAGGAAAGATGTAGCTTGAGGGGACCCGACAGGTGTACTACGGTGGAGTTTCCGAAGAGAGAGAGAGAGAGAAATGTTTTTGTGATGTTATAATTTTTAAAATAATTTTTTAAAAAGAAAAATCTTTCATTTATATATAGTGGATGTTTGGTGAGAATTAAAATTAAATTTTTAGTAAATTGTGATAGAAGTTTTTAAAATGTGAGGTTGAAAAGGTGTGAGACCATGAAAGATGTAATTAATACTAATTGTTTGATTTTAATTTAAATTAAAATTTGATTTTAATTCGAAATAAATATGCCCATAATATTATTTTATTAGAAAACGTGTTATTAAAAAGGAATAGAAAAAAATGGATTATAAATTAATGGACGAGGCGAAAAGTCTTGTTTTTGGACAAGGATTTCGGAACGGGTGGGGTCCAGTTTCATGCCTCTTTTGATTGGTTATATGCATGAATCAAGCTATTGGATTTTAAGTAAGAGATTTCTGGGTGTTACTCATAAGTTCAAATTTTGATTAATTTTGGTGTTCTTGCAGGCCATTTCATTATTGAAGTTATAAATTTACTTCTTAAGAAGTAATCTTTAAACTTACTTCATAAAAAAGTAACTTTATGAAGAATCCTTCGAAAAAAGTAAAGATTATTATATTTCTACAGACGTTATACTTACTGACAAGAACGTATTTATGTGATAATTGTTAGAATTGTGGTGTTAGCATCTTTATTGCGACATCCAAGTCATGAAATTATTGGATTTAAATTGATTAATATATTTTTAAGTCTAATACCGAGTCAATAGAGTCGTTGATCTGCAAGGAATTTATAATTATATGTTCGGATGAAGATAAGTTTGTTTAATACCTTTATTATTTTAATTGAGATTTAAATATATTTTTCTAATAAGGAAAATATGATTTTAGAGTAAAAATTCATGACGATATATTAAGTTCCCGTTTGGTGCACATTT